TTCAAATGGGGTTAATAATGTAGGTAGGTTAGGAAAGACCTGAAGAAATGGCATTCAGTTGAAACTTGAAGGGATTGCCATCGATCTTTGTAAATTGTAAAATTTACTTTCATTCTAAGTTGAGGCGCCCTCCAGGCACTGCAGGCTGAGCTGCACGGATGGTCTTCTGGGCCAGCGTGCCCCTCTCTCACTCAGGAGCTAAGTTCAGGTGAGGTTCCACCTCTCTTCCTCAGCATTTATATTCTTTCGTCCTCTTACAGCCCAAATTTTTCATCATCATTTAAAACTGTGCTGATTTTATTTCTTTTCTTTTTTATTTTAGCGTATTATGGGGGTACAAGTGTTAAGTTTACATATATTGCCATGCCCCCCTCGCCCTCGAGTAAGAGCTTCAAGCGTGTCCATCACCCAAACATTGCACATCTTACTCATTGTGGTTGTATACACCATCCCTTCCTCCACCTCCCACCTCCCGACACCCAAATAAAAGTTACTCCTATATGTTCACTTAGGTGTTGATCCGTTAATACCAATTTGCTGGTGAGTACTTGTGGTGCTTGTTTCCCATTCTTGAGATACTTCACTTAGTAGAATGGGTTCCAGCTCTATCAGGAATATACAAGAGGTGCTATATCACCATTGCTTCTTAGCTGAGTAGTATTCCATTGTATTCATATACTACATTTATAATCCACTCATAATTGATGGGCACTTGGTTGTTTCACAGCCTTGCAATTATGAATGGTGGCGTTATAAACACTTGGTGCATGTGTCTTTTTCAATAAAAGTGACTTTGATCTTTGGTATGGATAGATGCCCAGTAGTGGAATGCTGGATCAACATAGTAGATCTACTTGTATCGATTTTGAGGTATCTCCATATTGCTTTCCACAGAAGTTGAACTAGTTTGCAGTCCCACCAGCAGTGTAGGTGTTCCTCTCTCTATGATCCATGCAGCATTTGTTGTTTGGGGATTTTTTGATAAGACCATTCTCACTGGAGTTAAGTGATATCTCATTGTGGTTTTGATTTTCATTTCCTGATGATTAGAGATGTGACATTTTTTCATATGTTTGTTGGCCATTATTCCTGTCTCTTTGAGAAGTTTCTGTCTTGTCTTTTGCCATTTTTGATAGGGTTGTTTGATTTTTTCTGCTGATTTTCCTGAGTTCTAAATAGATTCTAGTTATTGCCTTATAAGATGTGTAAAACATTTTCTCCCATTCTGTGGGTTGTCTGTTTGTTCTCTTGACAGTTTCTTTGGCTGTGCAGAAGCTTTTTAATTTCATAGGTCCCAAAAATTCTGTGCTGGTTTTTCAATTGTTGTTGTTTAACAGGCACCAAAATTCAGAGTGGTTTCTATTCTCTAGAAACAAGGATCCTCCCAGGTTTGTTCCTCTCTTATATTTAACGAAATTTAGACATGCAAAAAGGTTCTGTTTTGACATACCACTTCCTGTTTTGCTTCACCAAATATGTTTTTATGGCATGACTTGCTTCATGTGTGCATAGCCTATCTCCTCAGCTAGAAAAAAATAGTGACAAATAATTTGTATCCTTAGGACAAGGAATGTAATCAACTTCCTTACTTCCAAAACTGTTTAGTACAATTCTGACCATACACAGGGGCCTATAAACAGCAGAAGTAGCAACCTTTGTTTCCAATTTCATTTGTTCACATAGTCCCCGCTTGGACAAGTACAGAAGCAGCCACAGCCATCAGAGCGAGTCCTAGCTGAAGAATGGTAGCTATTCCCAGACCGCCTCCAGTCCCTCCACTGACACGGCTAGGGTACGGACCCTGAACAAACAAAATGTTTCCCTTTTCCTGCATCCCTGGCGCTGTTACAGGAAGTCCCTGCTCCAGGAAGGGGACTTTTTGGCCCAAGTACTTTCCTGCACCACTCTTTGAAGTCAGAAGCCACTTCCAGTCGGTCTGTGCCTAACCTCCTGGGAAAGGCATCCTTCCCCATGCCAACTCTTGCATACACCACCACACACCCCCAAAAAATTGCTCTGTTCTTACTGGAGCGTCTGTACCTTGTCTCAGGAGGAATCCGGCCTTCTCAGATTCACTAGCAGAGCCGCCGCCCAGGGACCCACCAGAACCCATTCTGGAGAGAGGAAAAATCAGATGATAAAATCATCAGCCTCTTCAGACTAGGCCTTGCCTCACACAACAACAGCCAAAAAATATTCACTCAGGATAAGTAGGTATGTTTCTAGCATCCCAGGATTGGAAAACTCTTCGACTGAAAACCAATCAAGGTAGAAGAGTTTTCATCATGAGATACTAGGTAGAATACTTTCATAAGTTGAGTTATGCCACTCAAGAATTGTTTAACTGCAGAATCCACTGGCAGTAATTTAGGTATATAAAAATGGGCTGGGGAAAGAAGAGAAATAATAATCTGCATAGCATAGGGCCTAGAAGAACTAGCGGATTGTGTATTATGTATCCAGCTCACCTCGTTTAGCCGACCCCGGCCTATCGACCCACGGGTCCCACTTCCTGCGGGGTGCTGACTGCAGCGGAGAGTGTGTGGCATTGAGAAGAGTGGGCCGCAGTCTCAAGCATCTGCCTCAAGAGCCATGTGAGATGGGCGATTTTTTGTCAGAGAAGAACAGAAGAAGACGAGAATACTTGACGGCACAATGTTCTATAAGCCCAGAGACCACAAAGAAAAGAAAAGAAAGAAACATGGAGATAGCATTCTCAAAGGAATAAAAATGTTGCAAAAAAATGTCAACCGGATACATATATAAGAAGCTCGTGTTTTATCATTAGGGGCATGGACATCCTAACAGGGCAGCAGAGAGTGTGAGGTAAAAGCCCTGTTCAAAAAGTAAGAGTGGAATTGAAATGAGAAAATGAAGACAACAGATATAAACAGTCTTACAGGAACTGATCTGAACGTTAGAAATAAGAAAAATGGGTCTCCCATTTGGAAGAAAAGCAACTAATATTTTTGTTTTATTTTGTTTTATACAACATACATCAATTGTACAGTATTTATAGACCACAGTGGATTACGTGTATGTATTTGTAGCAATCAGATCAAGATAATTATATGCCCATCATCAAACACTGGTCATTCTTTGTGATAAGAACATTCAAAATCCTCTCTTTTAGTATTGGAAAAACAATATTACTAACGAAAAGTAGGTGATTATAACCCAGTAGAATATGATTCAACCATAAACAGAATGAAATCCTGTCATTGCAACAACACAGCGATGAACCTGGAGGACATTATGTTAAGTGAATAGCCAAGGACAGAAGACATACACATGCTCTCGCTTGTATGGGGAATCTAAAAAGTAGCTTATCTTGTAGGATGAAGAGTGGTTACCCGAGGTTGGGAGGGAGAGGTGGGTGGGATAGGGATGAGGTTGGTAATGGTGACAAAGTTAGATTAAGACAGGAATGAGTTCCCGTGTAGGGGAACTCATCTAGTAGGGAAGATAGTAGTAGGGGAAAGATACTTTTAAATAGGAAAGACCTCAAGTTTCTGAATTAAGTCGGAAGGCATTCTGGTAGCTAAAGAAATTGAAGATTAAAAAGGAGAAGGAAGGGAATTTTCTCCAAGAAGGCTGAATGAATCCCAAGGAGAGTATTAGCCGGCACTACTTCCCAGACTACTTCGGGAGATTGAGTGGGAAGCGGCTGAGGCTGAAGTCCCAGACCAGCCAGAGCAAGAGCAGCAGCCTGCCTCTACAAAAAATGAAATATTAGCCGGGCATGGTGCACACACCTGCAGTGCAGCTACTCGAGGCTGAGGCAGGCGGGATCGCTTGAAGCCAGGAGTGTGAGTGCAGTGAGCAGCGCGATAATGCCACTAGCACTCTACCCGGGGTGGCAGAGGAGATCCCTCTCAAAAGAAAAATTAATTAAATAAACATTTCTGGTAACTACACAAGCTGTCTTCTGTTAGTCTTGTTTCATGATCTTTATACTGGTTTTATTTAACCTTTCATGTCTTTAGGTTTCTCTGTGTTCTGTGAATCACATACGCATAAAACTGATTTTGTGAATATTTTAAGCCAACATCCAATCTGACCTCTTCTTTTATTCCAGATTTAAACTTTTAATATTATGATTCCTAAGCTATCCGGATTTGTTCTATATCATATATTGTGTATTGTTATGTTTGATATTGTCCTTTTTTCCCTTTCATGGTTATGTTAATTGATCATTTTTAAGCATCTTTATTCCCTACTGGTTTAGGAGTTTAATCTATTACATTAGTTAAAGAGTTAGTTTTTTTTTCCCTACATTTTTAATGTGACTGCCTAAACTGGAACATGTCGAAGTTAACTGTATCTCCTAACTCTTCCAATAAAGAAACACTTAGAATGCTTTTATTTTTGCTGCCGCATGTACTTGTGATTGTTCTGCTCTGTGTTCAATTAAATTGCATTTTCTTGGTGATTTTATAGTTATATCATTTTCATTCTCTTCTGATTTCCAATTATTTTGACAGATTTTTGTGGTGCCTGCACATGTGTATATGTTGTTTTATTCTTCTCATCTTGCTTTTTCTCCATTTTTACTCCTGGTGCATATCTTGTTACTGTAGGTCATAATTTTTTTTTTTGTTTTTTTTTTTTTACAGAGCCTATTCCAGTATTAGGTCATAATTTTAAAAAGCAAAGTGACAAGTATAATGTGAGCACTTCACCCATAAGATTGGAAATCTAAAAAATTAACAACACTCTGTGTTGGTAAAAAGTGGTGAAATGTACAAACTCATCTTGCTGCTGGATTGTAAATCAGCCTTATGAAGGCAATTTTGCTTAGTTTATCGAATATTAATATATTTATATCTCTT